ATGATTATTCGTTCGGTCGTATGAAAAGGCCTTTCCTTCTACTTATTTTGTTGACGATATCCGCGTTGCGCGTGTCTGCATTCGGGTTCGTGGCCCCTATCAGGTTTTTCTGCTCAAGTGCATTGCTCTAAGGCTCAGGCCCATCATCAATTCCATGCACCACTACTACGCCACTGCAGGCCTTTCCCGCCGACTACATCCTGTGTTCACGCCTGCATGCCTGCATGAACAGGAGAGACGGTGACCAGCCGTGAGGCTTTTCTGTGGCTGGCCCGAGCTGCGGTTGCTGTTTTGAAGTTGAGGCGAATAGCTTCGATCGCTTAGGAACAAGCAGCAAAGCAGGTACGAGCAGTTCAAGAACTGTGCGCTTCACAGACATTTGTTGCGGCCTCTCGAAGAATTACTGCCTCTGTTAAGATACACGTAGGTACGCACCACTACAAACTCCTGACGCGACAGCCTGGAGGAACCTGAGTGCACGCGAAGAAGCCGCTGCAGAAATCTGTTGGAAGGTCCGCAAAGTAGATTCCGTGTTGTGCCAGACCAGACGGAGTTGCAAGAAGCAAGCTTAGTCGATAAGACCGTAACAGAAGCCAAAGCACGCCTGCTCGCTTCGTCTCACAGCTTCGCGAGCCGCGCCGTCGGCCGTTCCCAAGACAGTCCTTGCTTGCAGGGAAGCAGCTGTCTTCATGTAGTCTTTCGCCACCGGTCGTGCAGTGTTCACGGATTTCGCCGTGCCCTGCCCAAGGCAGCCCCAAGTGACCCCAGGCGCCATCTCAAAGGGATGTGCGTTTTGAGGTGTCGGTAGACTCAGTAGACAGCACGTCAGGATCGCAGATTGAGAGGGGCCAGAACGTGGAAGAAGAGTTGCGATATTTCCGGCTTTGAGATGCTTTACACCCCCCCGTCCTCTTGCATCCGAGGAGACATGTGTTCCTGGAAGCGAAGTAGCCCTGGTACAGTCTCTTTTCTTCATCTAAACAAAGCGATAAGGGTAAGTGCTGGTAAGGGCAACGCGGCAATGCAGAGAATCGAAAGACTCCGAGGTCCGCAAAGGTCGTTTGTATTAAGCTTGGCCCCCAGCTCTAAGTGGAGCCGAGTGCGCCTGCGGCCGAGTGACCTTTCGGCTCCTGCAGCCCGGAGACGGAGACTAGAGGACAGGAGCGCTTCGGAGCTCCGAAAGCCGCAGAGGAGCCATGACGACGGCGCACCGGCCGACATGGCGCGGAGCCCAGTGCAGAGAGGGCGCGTCCGAAGCTGGGGTGGGGAGGCGAGCGATGCGGAGCGATGCGGAGCGGGTGGAGCGGGTGGAGGCTTCAGGTTGAAGGTGTTGGGCGAAGGCGGAAAGCTGCACAGAAAGATGAGATGCGAAGGGCGAAGAGCAAAGAAAGGGCAGAGTGGGAAGAGACCAACTCCCATTGTGGCTGAAGAGCGAAGATGGGTGTAGGCGCTGTGGGTGACCGTGAGACTTCGCGCTTGACAATCTTCGGTATTGCTTTGCGTAAAGTGTCGTGCCTGCTTCACTCCAGGAATGCGGCGATCGCCAGCAACAGCAACCCAGGTCCAAGTCTTCAGCTTCCCCCATGGCTTATAGATTTGCAGGGAAGCCTGCAGTGCCGGGTGTCGCGGTTCGTGACCCAGGTGGCAACATGATGGTTGCGCAGACAACGAAAGTCTTTCACCTCAGATGCTTTAAATTCAACAGATGGCATCACGAAGATGAAAAGCCTCCCGTCGGTTTCTGGTAGCACTCGCCATGATACACGGCTCTGTCTGCCAAGATCAACAACAGAGATGCGGCCACCTTCAAGAAGATGAAATTCCGGCAGGCAATCTTCAATTGTGTGGCAGATGCGTCACTTAGCAGGTGCTGCGAAATGAGAAAGTGTGCTTCAGCTGCACCTTGAGGGTTGCTGCTGAACTCCTTATGAGGCTGGCCAGGGTCTTCTCGAAGATCGTGGTTCCAGGGCAGATCTCACAGAGGACAGAACCTGCAAGCTAGAACGGGCCCTGCGCGAATCATCGCGAGAATCATAAGCTTCCGCTAGTTCTTTACATCCTCCATCATCCTCCTGTACCTGCGGATTCCATGTGGCCAGGACCTGGAGCGAAGAGAGAAGGCAGCCAAGGATGAGCGAGAAGGGAGAATCAAGGAGTGCGTCTCTTCCACAAGCAAACTGTTGCGAGGGCGCCTTGCTGCCAATATGGGCATCTTCAGGAGAGGAAACGGCCATCCCTAGAGGACAATCCCTTCCCTGAGGCGCGAGTGTCCCGGGCTAGCTTTTGCCGGCCGATTGCTGGCCAGGAAGCATTTTCCTGGGTGGGCTTGCCATCAGGATGCCGACGAGGAACTCCCTAGTGAGGACGAGAAGGACGCGAGCAGTCGCTTCGTGCCAGCTTACAGTTCGCTGTTTCGGCATGGGACAGGAAAAAGAGGCAGAAAATGAAGGCTGGATCCTGAGCGGCCTTAGCTTTGTGCCTGAACGCGGCTTGCGTGCCTGTCAAGATGAAGATGATGACGACGACGATGACGATGCAGAGGCATTTGGCGGGACATTCGCTGTTCTGATTTAGGTCGTTTCAAAGAGGCAGACACTCAGACGCTCAAGACACGCCGAAGCTCTGGGGTTCATCTTAGTTGGTGTATTTAGGGATGCGAGTTTTGATATTTTAGGGTTTAGGCCCTTTGAGCCTCGGGTTTCCGGTATTCCGAGGGTGGAGCTTCGTAGATCTTCGTAGATCGACAACTACTTCTTGCCGTGAGTGTGTAGAGTTGGCGACGCCGGTTCCGCACATGCCACCGTGCAAGACATGTGTTGTGGAGCGTGCTGACGTGCAGTGTTCTTGCCGAATCCGCCCACCCACATCTCAACCTTGTAGGTTGAGGGCGCAAAATTCAAAAGTGGGTTGAGGGCGCAAAATTCAAAAGAGAGTCTCAGAGTTATCGCAGGATCCCAGCGTTTGCCGGGTTCTGGCCCAATTGTTAGCACCAGAGCCCCACGCCACTGGGATCTGTGGTGCTTGGATATATGATATTCTGCTTCTGAACAGGCGGATCTGTTCATCCTCCAACTAATTTTTCCAATACGACGGGATTTTCTCTGCTAGCCTCCCGATTCGGAAACAAACCGCAAATAGCAGACTTCATGAAAAAAACAGGCGCTGGCTTTCTGGTCATGGCAGCCTTCCAAACGTTAAACTACGGGTGAAAACCCGCACAGCCGCAACATGGCCTATTTTACAATGAATGCTCCTTCCGGAAAGACCTTGTCCAGAACCCTGGATGTACTGGGCAGCACCCTGGGAAGAGGAAAGCCCAGACCAGCAATATGGCCGCTCTTCTTTGAAAGGCCCTGTCCAGGATCCTCGTATTTTCTGGCTTTCTGACGGTCGCAGTAACGCAAAAGGAACCATGCATTTTTTCCTTTTCCGGGGCCGGGGCAAACTGTCCAGAAGCTGTTCGGCAATTTTGGGGTTCCCGGCGCGACACCGACGCCTGGACTTTCACAGTACAGCACAGCACTGCTGTCCTCGATCAGCTGTTCTGAAAAGCTCTTCGGAAGATCAGGAGCTGATGAGGGAGCTGGCGAAGATCAAGAAGGAGAGGGAGGAAGAAGAGGAGGCCAAGAAGGCGCGGCTGAGCGAGAGAAGCAGAGGCCTTTTAAGTTAAGCTTTGAGGCGAAGTGGGGTGCGGACGTTCTTGCGAGGCCCTTCAAGCCAAGCAGGACAAGCGGGCGCAGAGAGCCTGGCCCTCGATCACAGAAATTGGAGAGAGATCGCAGGAAGCAAATTCGAAGAGCTTTCAGGATGAGGTCATGAAGGGAAACCCTCTTCTCGCAGAAGGCTCTGACGTATCGCTGAAGAGGCGCGGCATAGGGCCGGCAGGCCAGGGGTGCTTTGCAAGCCTGAACCTGAACGAGGCGCTGGGATGACGATACTGTCTTCAAGAATCAGGCCGGGCACTTTCGTTTTGACCGCTCCGAGCGGTATCCGGGCGCTTCAGGCGCGCACCGCGCCGAAAGTCAAGCAACGCTACATCAACGACGCCGTGAAGCTCTCAGCCAGCTCGGCGATGCTCGGCCCCATCCAGAATCCCCCATTCTCCCAGCGTTCTCTCAGGTCCGCAGTGACTTCCACAAAAAGTTCTTGAGCCCGGCGCCCTGTACCTCTTTGCCACACATGTCCCGTGACGGCGACAACAGCTGAGGCAAGTATGTTTGGGTGGATGGTGTGGCACACTGAGATCCAATCCGTGTCCATTCCTGGCATCGAAACATAAATGCACAAGACTTACTACCAGCTCAAGAGCTTACAGTAGCTGTCCTGCTGTCTGGCGGCAATAGCCGGCAAGCCTGGCAGCCCGGAGATCGCCGCCTGGACACGGTGCAAACTGCGCCAAAAATCGCAATCTCTGCCGAAGAGCGCAGAGCCGGAGCCGAGCCGAGCCGACCGCGCGGTCGCGCTGGCGCGCGCCCTCGAAAAAGATTTCGGATCGCGTGGGCCTTTGATGCCACATCTTTGAGAAAGCTCCGAGCTGTGCATGCTGTGTGCACACTCCGTCCTTTTCCGCAGAGAGCTTTTCCCGCCGAAGGGTTTAGGCAGGGGGAGGCGGGAGGGCCCCCTGTGCCGCCGCACCTCCCTTGGTGCCCATCGAAATGAGTTGAATTCACGCTCTGGCGCTTGCGGACCAAGGCCATGTCGCAACGACTCGTGTTCGCCTATGGCGACAAGAGAGCCCAGCACACAGCCTCACAGCAAAGCCTCATTTTTGTGTTGAAGGCTTCTACACGCTGGGGTCTTCCTGTCACGTGACTGCGACTGTATCGCAGGTCATGGCACGGGGATCCGGTGCGGATGCCGTTGTGCTCAGTTCAAGCTAGTTGAGTCGGAAGATCAGAAGTTCGCAAGCTGCCTGTTTACTTGATGTGAGCAGCCCGTGTTGCACGAGTGACAATCGCAGCCTTCAATGTCTTCGGGATTTAGGCCGTGCGATCGATCAAGAACCTAGAAGCTTTCTTCCAGGACGGTGCACGAAGAGCAGCCACTGTGTTGGTTGTGTAGTTTAGTCCATGAGTGTCTGCACACCAGGACGCCGAAGAGAAGCTGGGATTGCCCGAAGGCTTCACGATCCCGCGTGCCATGAAAGAATTGAAGCTGCATTCTGCTCATGTCAGTGGAGTTGGCGGGGCCAGCTTCCATGAGAAAACAGATACGATCCGATTCCCCCTGTATTTCGCTGGTCCAACTTGCCACCAGAAATCTCGGGCCTTGCGGAAGCCCTGCTGAGAAAGTTCCAATCCATCCGGAGAGCAGCCTGACAGGGGTGCAGGAAGCGACGCTGCAAAGGGTTAAGGGAGCTGTACCGCTTGGTCTCGAGCTCTCCCCAAACACGGCGACTTTCAGCCGAAGCCACAGAAAGCCCGAGGCTCTCGGAACCCAGTTTTGGCTTCCGGCAGAATCGCTCAGCATTTTTCCAGCTGAGCTTAGTTGGCCTAGAAGCAGTGAAGTGCGAGAAGAGCAGAATGCATTCAAGAGTGTTTCTTGTTTGTACAAGCTTCTGCTGCGTGTCGAGCAGGCTCGTACGACTTCTACGATGTCTATGGCAAGATCACGACTCCTGCGGACCCGTAAGTGCTGGTGACATTTCAGCATGGAGCTGCACATCACGGAATCTCCGCCCCTCCGAAAAAAGCTAGCGTTTTTCCCGGGTTGAGTCCATGTTGGCCTTGTTGGCCCTTGCAGGACCTGCAGCGGGCGCTTTCCACAGCAGGGTCCGGAGAATGCACCATCGAGGCCTCATGACGCCTATTGCCAGCGCTGAGCTAGAAAAACTACACAGTGCAGGTTCGGGAACACTTGCACTACATTCGAATCCGTGCGCTGGAGGACAGGGCGTCGGATGGGTAGAGGAGATGATAGGTGATACAGTGTCATCAACAACAGTGTGATCTTGTGCGTTTATAAGGACGACAACAGCCGCCTTACCGCGCGACTCGACGCGCTGGAGGCACCGACGGCTAGGTGTGTCCCGAACGAAGTTTGATGGGTCGTGCTAGCACTCTAGAAGCAAAACTTCGAACCGGAGCGCACCAGTGCAAAGCTTATGGCAAATTGCGAGCCCCTGCATGACACGCAGCCGCTCGAGGACGAGAGAGAGAGCGAGAGAGCACGGATTAGATTCTTTCGTCGGAGACGGCAGAGACAGCCCCCAAAGAGCGTCATCACAACCTGCCAGTGGCCAGCATCGTGCAGACCAGGCATGTCGTGTTTGTTGCTCGTGCACTGATATCCTGCTTGCCTGCTGCTTCCGCTGTTTCAGGATTCCCGAACCCCACAGTGAGCCAAAGTGCTTGGTTGAGTTTCTTTGGGGAGCTTTACGCGGATCAAGAACACTCCCGAAATCAGTCAAGCGACGGGTGCCCGAGGGATTTGTTCCGATTCAGGCGCATCTTGCATTCTGCAAGCCCTTGGTCCCTAAGCCTCACAGCTTCGGTGATGTCGCTTAGGTTTCCAAAGTGTGCTTTGCTAAAACTCCAGTGCCAGAGTACATAAGGTTGTGTTGCTAGTCGGGAAGCATAGAGACTGTGCCAGGTGGCGCTGAGAGAGTCCGATGAACGGAGCAGCATGAAGCTGCAGGCAGAGCCGATGTTCCGTCAGCGCAGGTTGCAGAAAGCTTCGGCCAGGTGGCATCAGAAGAGCTTGTCAAGATGATCAAGAAGGTGCATCAGAGAATGTAGGGAGGAGCCGAAGCATGACACACGAGGGAACCTGGAGAACGCACCTTTTGCCGCAATCTCTGGCTCAAGCCATTTTGCACACCGAGCTTGGGCACGTCAAAAGGCCAGATTCGGACTGCAGTGTATCGATTTGCAAACTGCGGGACCGGGGGGGGGGGTGGGGGGTGAGGGGCATCGTCGTGTGTCAGGCCGGGTTTTCGCAATGCGATGAGACGTCGGTGGCAACTTTTGAGGCTGTCCAGAAAGCCCGGGAAAACATGTGGCACAGCTGAGCACAAAACGCAGGTGGCAAGTACTATTGGCCGGCAGCGCAGCTTGGCTGGATGGACGTCGCGACTGTGTGCAGCCGTGTAGACTTTCGTGCATGTGCACGTGCTCAGGCGCTGGCACTGGTTGCTGCACGGAGTGGCCTAGCTGCGGCGCCACCGCTTCAGGTTAGGTCACCGCATTTGCAGATTTCTTTTGGGGGGTTGGTGACGTGCAGGAGCTGCTAAAGCCTCCAGCTCAGAAGAACGAGCTGCCGCTCGGCAGAGCACCCTTTCAGGTTTGGCTGCTGCAGACAAGTGGAGGAGTTTGTGCCGCTTCTCAAAAGTGCGCTGTTTCCATGCCGCTGATGTGGCGATCCGAGGGCGCCAGTCTATCCGGGCAGCGTCACCGTTCCGAAGGAGGCGGGAGTTGGAACTTCTCCCGCTCCGTGGAACGAGTGCTGCAGTTGAGATTCCGGTCAGGCTCCGATTTCCCGAGTGGCGCGTGCCTCACTCCAGCTCTAGAAAATCTAGTTGCAATATTCGAGACTTCTGCACAGGAACCACATGTCTGCTCACTCAGGTCGAACCGTTCGGTCCTCGGATGTCAGACGTTCATGTCGCTGACTCGGCAAGCCTCGGCATAATCAGATGGCTGTTGCAGGTACAACGCCAGAGACAGGGTGACGAAGCACCAGCGTGTATGGTACCTGCCTCGCGGGGTAGCCTTTGCGACGAAAGCTGGCATTGGTCGACACAGGTGGGGCCCTGGCTATGGCAAGCATCCTTATCTGGCAGGGGGCCAAGCCCAAAACCAGCAAAAAAGGGGTCAAACCGCAGAGAGCTCTGACTTTTGTGCCTGGCGTCTAGAGTCTCGAGGTGAAGAAGTGGTCCACTGTGGAGAAGCTGATGAAGCGAAGACCTCCCATGGCTATCCCTGGGAAGGCCAGGCCTCGAAGCTGTGGGCCAGGCTTCAGCGGTGCCGGGCCTAGCGCCGTCGCTCGCCTCCGAGGTCGCTCGGCCCACCAAAAGGGAGCAGCTTCTACGACGTCAGCTGATCAAGGGCACGACGCCGAGCGAAGCCGACTTCAATCGAATCATCCAGGCACGCTTCTTCCCTTGTCGATCCGGCCATGCGATCACATCGCCGGAAGTCTGTCCTGGCAGGTCTTTGCACAGCGAGCCCGCCAGGAGGTTCGGTACCCGCTGTTGATCCAGCGCCACCACTTTGCCAAGCGGGCAAAGTCTCTTGGATACCATTGGTGGTCTGTCTGCCGTCTGCGTGCTTATGCACATGCCAAGGGGATGGGCCTGGGAAATGCTCCTGAATGACATGCAGCCCAGCAGACAGACCTACAAGGCAGCGAGTTGAAACGCCTGTCTTGCCCAACACCCGCAAACACTGCCTGGCCCTGCCCCTGCAGTTGATGATGCTTGCATTTGGAGCAACGGGCCATCATGCAGCTGCACGATGGTGGATCGACTGGAGAAAGTCGGACTCCGAGAGCGACGAGGAGCGCCAGAGAATGCCTACAAGAGACATACGGGAGTTTCAGAAAATTAGGGGGACCCTTATTTTGGGGTCCTTATATTAAGGATCCTACTATTTTAGGGTACTATATTAGGGTCCCCTATTTTCGGAAACTCCCATACACACCGGTACCAGTAGCCTGGCCAGGTGGACAGTCGTTGGGAGACAAATTGTTTGATCTCCGCCTACGCGAAGGTCGGCAGGCCGCTAGAGGCAGCCTTCCTTTCATGTCCATGTATGTCCATGTGGGTGGTTGTCAAAATTATGGTCCCTTTTTGGGTCCTTATCATAATACGGCACCTATTATTTAGGGTACCCCGAAAGGGACCCTAATTTTGACAACCACCCATGTATGTCCATGTCCTTTGCCATCCTTCGCGTCGTCACATTTTCATGGCAGGCCGCCCGGCACCTGCGCGAGATGAGCCGGAGTGGTCTTCGGCCCGACGCGCGCAGTTTTGCAGGCGTCTGGGGGGGCGCTTTGGCGTCCGTTCTGCTTCCCTCCTCTGCTTCTGTGCCAGGTGTTATTGAAGCCTGGGAGCACATCGGGAATAGGCTCAAAGCTGGGTGTCCCAGCCTGAAGCCAACAAGTACCACTCGCCCCAGGTACCAGATGTTGCGGTGGCTGAAGTTGTATCTCAGGGCAGAAGCCAGAGGTATTCTGGGAGAGCTCCTAGATCCTCGCGATGCAGGGCATCTCGGCACATGAGTGCTTCGTCCCTTTGACCTTCATCATGCAGTGCGTCGAGCAGTTTGGAAGGCTTCCGTACTATGCCCTGGCAGAGTCGTACGTGAAGGCCAGAAGCCTCACCCAATACTGTAGCGCTTAGAATGTGCAAGTGGCCTGAATCACTGAAGGTGGCAGATGCCGTCCGTACAATGAGCCTCTTGAAGGCCGTGAAGGATCGCGGCATACCGCTCAGCATCCAGGCGCCGCCGCCGCTTCGGAACTTCGCCTCCCAACTCGAGCCACCAAAGGCTTACCGCCTTCGGCTGGACGTGCTGCTGCGCGTGCGCGGCCAGCGTCGAGCGATGGACCAGATCGAGCGGGCTCTTGCGGCTGGGCAGAGTGTCGAGATGGAACAATGACAGCAGGCTTCCATGCTGTGATACGTCTGGTTTCATCCAGGTTGAATTCATCAGCAACCGCCCCTCGAAGGGGCCGATCTTCACAAAGGAGCTGCTTCAAAGATGTCGTGGCTTCGACTGCCTGAGAGTGTTGCCGCAAAGCTGCTAGGTCTCAAGGCCTATCCTAAGGCAGACAAGCCACGGCAATCAGTCTCCAAGACTGATTGATGTGTTCCTCCACTCAGGCGACGTTCTTGGCGAAGAACATGTCGAGGCGATGTTTAGTGACCTTGGTCGGCTGCCCAGACAAGTGATGTCACGCTGGCAGAGCCTGGCACAGTGCTCACACAACAGGTGCCGGAGATGATCTCGTGCAGCAGGAGGGAATCCGTGTGTCTAACTCCCAGCCCTCGATGAGCTGGGGCACATGGAGACTGATGAAGTTACCAGTGGCGCCATGTATATGTCGTTAGCTGCAGGACAATCTTCGAGCAGATGCCTATGAAAAATGGCAAACTGCAGCGGAGCTGCAGATGCTCACGGCAATATTGCTTGTTGTTAAGCTGTTTCGCGGCTGAGGCACAGCTGAATGTGGCGATTAGCCGGGCGGTCAAACACAAGCGAATTGTTGCCGGCACGTCGCTCCTTCTGGACAAGGAGGCTGCCGATGCTTGCATATGTGGTGCTGCTTTGCAGCTTGAGCGCCAAGACTGCGAAGGAAGATGACGATGCTTTTGAGGAAAAGCAAGAAGCTCGAGAACCCTACAAGGCTCGCATGGCTGCTTCATGTCAAGACGTGCAGAATCCTCCATGAAGTGCCTGTTGTACATAGTCGCGGATGATTCTTGGCAGGTGGGGGACATTGACCAGGGCTTCCGAGTCCTGAAGCGCGAAGCAAGCGAGAAGGGCTTGCCGGATTGGATGTCGTTGAAGAAGCCCCCTGACTGGTTCAACGCATTTTTCTTTGTCTCTTCGATGCCTGCGCCTATGCCTATGCATGCCCCCCCCACAGCCACCGGAGACACAACGCTGAGGCCCATTCGATACGGCACAGCCAGGTGAGCGCGACTCAGCACTCTTGAGTGCTTAGCTGCAGCCCGGGCAAAGCTCTTTCAAATAGTCCCAAGAATGTTGCAGCCTCGTGGTCCCCGGCACACGAAGCAGCCGTAAATGCCACCTCATGTCCTTCCCGCTTCCTGCTGGAACACGAAATGTCCAGGGCAGCGGGTTTGGGCGGGAGTTATGTCATGTCTCTACCCAGTTCTCGCCAGGCCTTCGGGCCTTGGGAGTCGTAGCTGCTTGTTGAAGTGAGGCGTCTAGGTTCCAAGTATTCAGACCGTCCAACTTTAGTCTGGTTCCTCGTGCAAACAGATCCGGCCTCGCGTGTGCGCATGCTTAGCAGCACTGTGGGCGCAGGAGGCAAAAAGCTCTGTGATTTGCCGTCATCATTTAGGGTGAACCTATGCATGAGCACCGACATTAGTTTGTTTAATGAGCTTATCGGGTTACTTTAGAATGCGTATACGTATGGTCCGATTCAGCAGTTCATCCTTGCCATCGGAACCTTGTTTCATAGTGTGGGGAGCGCTGTAACGACAACACTGTAAACAAGCCAGTGCGCTCTTCCGCTTCCTGTGCGTCGAATCGAAACACATCGAGCATCTACTTAGGTCATGGATGTAGCACAGCCATTCGCCAGTCTGTACCTGCTTGATGCCTCAGTGCGAGACGACCATCTACGACGAAGTTGGTCCCGCGCTGGAGGCCGGACATTTCAAGTCAAGCATTTCCTCAGTTCTTCAGGATCCTTGTATCCCCGTACAAGTGCAGAACATGAGGCCGTCATGAACAAGCAGCACGACAACGAGCGCCTGGGGTGCATTGAGCAGGCGTGATGTGGGGAGGAGTATCTTTTAATGCTTTTTTTGTTTATTTGTTTGTGTTTTTCTGGTCTTCTAGGCTAGGATCTTGTTTACCGTTTTGTCTTCTGCTTTTGTTTGCTTGTTGCTTGCTGCTTGTGTTTGTTCCTGCTACTATTGCCACTACCGCACCAGTACAACCACAACTACAAGCACAAGAACAACAGCAGCAGCAACAGGAGCACCAACACCGCCACCACCGCCGCCGCCACCCCCGCTACGCCGCCACCGCCACCACGGCCCCCAAAGCCACCTCCACCGCCGCCACCGCCGCCGCCACCGCCACCGCCACCACCACCACCGCCACCGCCACCCATATGGGGATACCCACCACCACCACCACCACCACCACCACCACCACCACCACTACCACCACCACCACCACCACCACCACCACCCCAAAAAACACTATTGATTTGGGGAGCATGACAAGAACCTGGGACTGTGTGCATACTGTGATTTTGAAGGAGATGTGCACCTCGCCATAGTTTGAACTGGTCTGGGAAACAGACAACAACAAAATTAACAACACACGGCAACCACAAATCTGAAATCAATTCTCGCACCATGATGTGGGGCCGGTGAAGGCCACGAGCATTGCTGGGACCTTGGTGAGGGACTGGCTCGGTTCGTACTCAGGAAAGACATTCGTTCGGTGGCGGAGAAGTTGGCACAGTTCGATCTGCAGGAGACTCCGAGATCGCAGTGTGTCGTCGTGACCCGCCCTTTCGTCTCGATGCGTGATTTCAGGAGCTACGTGAGCTTTCAGCCAATGCTCTGCAGATGCGGGACGAGGTGCATCTGAGTGACTGCGGTCTCCAAGATGAAGGGGTCTGGGTCGTTCCAGGTCATGAACTGCATCAACCGGCTGAATGTCTTAGACAGCCAGTGGCTTCGAGACAAGGCGGCATGTGAAAGCCAGCGCCTCTCTAAAGTCGCGTGCAGTGCGCATGCCCAGGAGGAGTTGCGGGAAATAGTGGAAAGGACAAACCAGGCCGGGGACTGAGGGCAGACTATCTAAAACAGCTGTTGTCGGCTCGTTGCTCTGCCACACCGGGCCCACTCGCACCTGTGACACGATCCTCAGAGCAGCTCGAGTCTTTCTGTGCACTTCGTGCTCGAAGCCTTCGTGGCTTATGCTGCATGGCTCCAAGGATTGCCAGAAAAGATACGAGAGGGACCAGAACCTACTAGTATCCATGCCATCACACTAAGCAGCAGGGGCACCTCAAGGATCTTGCCATGCAATCCCCAACTCAACGGAAAAACACGCGTTTGAGCCCGAATCCCTGTGTTTGCTTTCACTCTCCGCAAGGACCTCAAGGACCTGCAGAAGTGCCCTGAAGAAGCGCGCGCTGAGCGTGCAACCGAGACCACCTGTTGTGCAGGTACATTATGGGCAAGATCGACGTTGGCATCGAGGCAGACGCCGACCTTCGGCGTGACCAGCAGGCAGCTCCCAGCGCTGTCCATCGCTGTCCTGCCCAAATCTCAAGCCGCAGATCCTGAACGAGCGCATGCAGCTCATTGCGGATGACCTCCGCCTCTTGATGGTGAAGCCCTGAGCTGCCCAAGATGCCCAAGCGGCTCCCGCAAGACACGAGGGCAGCCGTGGGACACCGAGGAAGAGCACCAGCGATTAGCAAACCGCACACTTGGTGTGGTGGAGGCGGCCTGCCTGAACTCAGACACATCTCGCTTGGAAGACCTAGTGGTCCGTCAGGAGAACGAGGAAATGCGGACACTCCTCGGGCAGGTGTGACGAGCAGCATGGGATCCTGTCGTTGCGCTCTTGATGTGATCCAGGTGCGGGAAGACAACGAGCATCTGCGGCACGACAATTTCCAGGCCCCGTGCCTTACGGCTTTCTTGGAAGCCTCGAAGCCCCGAACTGCTCAGGTCAGCACGCGGGTTCTCAGCTTGGAAGGCGCGGCGAGCGAAAAGTGGCAAGAGTGGCCGACTCAGGGGATCACCGCGCTTCCCTTTCGTGTTCCACGTGTTTCCATCGCCGACGCTGGGAAGGTTTACACCAGCAGTTCTCTACTTCCGCAACTGGCATCGCACTGCCAAGGAAGGGAGCTACTGGTACAGAGAGTTTTCGGCACGTGGAGCCCCCCATGTCTGCACAGGGGGACGACGTGCAGCTATCGGCAGATCTGTCCATTGCAGTAGGCGCCATCTGAGACGTCCTCGCCCTGTGACTGACTGACGTGACAGTGGCCTCGCGGTGCCAGGCCGTGGATTCCTGGCGGCTACGGGCGTCGTCGGAGCCTTGGATTGCCGCGGCTGCACTGCGTGCTGTGCCCATGTTGGATGCTGCCAGGTGATAGGAAATACGGAGGGCCTGGCTGTAGGCGCCTGCTTGCTGGTACGTACTTGCGTTCCTGTCGTCTTCAGTGTACCATGCCTTCCGATCTTGAGGCGATGGTCCCTGCAGGCATTTCGGGACTCCGGGTGCTCCCGGCGCCGTTCTCCATGTACCGGGATCCATGTCACTGTGGCAGCCGGCAGAAGCTGAAGCGGCAGGTTGTTTCTCCTCGTATTACGAGATCGAGGCAGAGAGCAGAGGCCAGTGAAGGCAAAACTGTCGGGTGCTTTTCCTGGCAGGTTGATGAAGTTACAGCCTCTCCGGCCGGTGCCGGTGGGCTGTTCCTTGGTGTCTCCTTGCAGAGTGGCGAGGTTCCCTGGGTTCTGTCCGATTCAGAGCGGCGCCTGTCTTCGTGAGTGCTTTGAGCAAGCTGCGTAGATGTAGAATGGGGTCCCTAGGAACTCGTTCGGAGTCAGGTTGCGTGTGACTTTGAGTTCCTTGTGCAGACTGCAGATTCCAGTGACCCGGAATGCACCCCGACTTCAGACATGTACTGTGTTTGGAACAGGAGATTGCCAATCATCCCCGAAAAGAGTTCGACGGCTGGTTGGTCGGAGGGAGTGGCAAGGCCGGGACTGCTTGGAACTGCAGGAGGCGGAGTCTGGGCCAGTGCTCCATTTGGGAGTTTCCGAAAATTAGGGGTACCTTATTTTGGGGCCCTTATAATAAGGATCCTATTATTTGGGGTACTATATTAGGGTCCCCTATTTTCGGAAACCCCCATTTCTTTCTCGTCGGAGGCTTTGACACTTCGGGCCAGCTGCCGATGCCTTGGGAGCAATTCAATTTTGGTTGTTCTTTGGCGCTCCTTTCATCAGTGTGATGTCGAGGTGCGGCTGAGCCAATCGATGCGGCACGCGTCTCATCAAAAGCCTGCGATAGGATTTGAACTTGCTCCTGCCACAGAGTTCCAGACGCAGCAACGGTTCACCGCGAATTGCAGATGTGTGCTGAGCAAGCGTGGATCTGTACCCCGACGCAGGAAAAGCTTCCAGACACTTTCGCCCCAACCAGCGACGAGCGCAGCCTTCGTGATGCCAGAAAGGCATGCCGGGCGTGACAACCACTATGTCAAGCAGAGAGGACGGCCGTCACATCTTCAGGCTTTGAAGCTCCTCCGAGCAGCGCTGCCTCCCCTGGCGAAGGGAAAGGTGGAGGAGGCGTGTCTCTCTTTTTTCTCACCTGAACCTCGAGCCCTCCTACGGTCACCCTTTGTTGTCTCTAAGTCGGATGTGGCCTGTTGATGCCTGTTGCCAGGTGGAGCTCCGGGACAGCTGGAGCAGTGAGGAAGGATGCTGTCGTCTCTTTGAGAGTTGTGTGGTAGTTCAGCAGCTCTGACCTGTTTTTTCATAGCTCCGGACACGATGTAACACTCCGGCATGCATCTCGACAGCATTACATCAACGGTCTGCACTCAACAGCCTTCCAAGTTTTAGCGCGATCCGAGCCTGAATGCAACGTGGTGATGTCAAACAGTTCGCCACATCTCACTTTCGGCTTTAATGCAATGCTAAAGCATGGCCGCTGGCGCACGGCGCTCTGTGCTGCTGCGCTAGCTGTTGTAGCACGCCATGCGCACCTTGATCCATCCAGGGATCTATTTGTGCTCTCGCTCTGTGGGCTTCGGGCTTTCTTGTCCTTGTCGCATCAGAAGCTTTAAGGTCGCGGGCCTGGTGCGAACCGGGCCGTAGTCGCAGTGACTCCAGGCTCGTGGTGCAGTTGCGTCGGGTCGCATGGGTCGCCGATGACGAGTCTGCCGAGTCGCCCTGGCCGCCGGCGTGTCTTTGATGCCGTTGCCGTGGCGCTGCTGGCGGAAGAGGCTTTCGCGGAGCAGGCCAGGCTCGGCTCACGGCACTAGGCGAGGCGCGCGGCCAGGCCGCTGCGTGCCGCTGCGTGCCGCTGAGGCTCCCGTGTACACAGAGACGGACAACCTCGGAGAGGTTTGGACGACTGCAAGCGCCACTTGTCTCAGGAATGCAAGAGCGCAGCAGTGAGCTTTCGAGTGTGGAAGCTGCGAGGTGCTCAAGCGTCGTGCCAAAGAATTGCAGAAGCTGAGCAAACGCAAGCTCCGGGGTTCGCAGGCTGCGATGTGCTCTGTGCTTCATGCCTCCCCGACAGACCTTCAGTCTGACTTCAGGCCCCTCTTCCACGTGCCTTTCTGACCTATCTCACCCGAGCCGCCTGGAGAACAAATTCAGTTTCGCTAGCTGATCGCCTGATCCGCGCGCAGTTTCCAGCCTGGCCATGGCATGCGTCCCATCACTGGACATCACTGGATCCACGCCATGGGCAGGCTAAATGCCTAGAATGGTCTAGACATTGCATCAGAGGAGAAGTGGCCTAGAAGTGCTGCCGAATGCAAGAACCTTCGTCTTACATCTCACTTCCGCTTGTCCTCATGTTTGGATCGGGCCCAGGTGTTAATCAACTACGACCGCCACTTGCCTGCACAGGCCGTTGCGTGTTAAGGTCTGGTTTTTGACCACGGCAGGCAGATCGATTAAGCTTTGGGCGCAGCCGGGACCTCAGCTCTGCCGGTTCCCTCACTTCCTCTCTGGCGGCTTTGGCTTTCGTCTCTACCGACTGAAGGTCCGCGCCCGAGGGCGCTGCGCCGGCCGAGGCGCGGCGCGCGCAGTTCGCGGCTCTGGCGGCTGCCGTGGACCTGGGCATCATCGGCGCCTACGGCAGCGATGCGCAGGGCACCACGGCAGTGACCCACGCGGCATCGCCCTCCCTGCGTCACAGGGCCTGTAGTAGGGTCTCTCAGGACCGCTCCTCTCTTTTCTAAAGTTACCTCATCTCAGGCATCCAGAGCCTGGCGAAAGCACTTCGTGGCCTTTGTCGGAGTGACACGTCGGCCAAGCGACAGGCTCGGGGCCAGTTCTGTCGGCAGCTCTTGCGATGCCGTACGGTGCGCATTCGGCAGTTTCGCACCACAGTCTGTGTATGTCTCTCCCTGCAGGTGGCTTTTGCTCTGTCGTTGCTTCCGTCCGACTTGCAGCAGCCTGCCTGCGTTGGTGCACGAAAGATCATATCACTCGGCCAGCGAAAGCTCTGTATGCTGACGCGTCTCACCTTCGATTTCGTGCGAAGGCCCGTGAATGTCATCGAGGAGCTGGTCAACGATGTCACCTCCAGTTTGGATGCCCACTTAGTGCTGAAACAGGAAAGTAGCAGCAGCACAAGCTTTGCGATTTCTGAGCATGCGGTGCGAGAGGATATCAAAGGAAGCTTTTCCTGCTGAGGACTTCGCAGTGGGCTTAGAGCGCAGTGGCGGTCAGGGACATCGGCCGGAATGGACACGTGTGATGCAGTGATTCTGTCAAAGGTGTGAGTGTGTGTCTGTGTGTGTGTGTCTCATCCCTGTAACAAAGGGCCAGTAGAGTGAAGTGCTTGCTTGCTTCCTTACGTCAGTTGTGCGAGCAGGGGCCTGAGGCTCACAGACAGGACTCCGGCCAACGACTAGACACCTGTCTGTTGAGTGTGATATGATCCTGGGGCGCTGGGATCACGTACCTGCCAGAAGCTTGTGGCTCCGTGCCTGTGACATCCTATACCTTCGGTGTGCATGGTTGTCCTTGTAAGACTCGAGAACTGTAGAATAGACAACGAGAGAAGCAGCAAATATAAAAAGCGAGACAAGCAAAAAAGAGCCATATCACCGACGACATTCCGGATCAAGAGATATGATGCAAGTGTGTGTGTGTGTGCGCGTGTAAAACTCTGATAACAAAAAATAAGTGCATGGGGTCGGTGCTTTCCCTGGGGGTCACCGGCCAACGAAGACACCCCGTGGGAGGGGTGCAAGTGTACCTGCTGAAAGCTGAATGGCAAGGAGCCAAGCCGAGAACCCCACCACGAACATGTAATACGTACCTCCCGAAAGGGTGTGTCCAAGTGTGTCCTCGACCGGCATTCTGTCAAAGGGCCGGGCGTAGCCGTTGATTGTTCAGTGATCCAGCAACCTCTTGCCGTCCTTCGCGTCGAAATTTTCTTGGATGCCTGGTCGAGCGAAACTTGATCTGCATCTTGATTCATATTTGAGCTTTACCTTGATTGAATCAAACTTGATCTGCACCTTCATTGTCTCACAACAGACGACGACGACACATGCGGCCAGGACCCAAGCCTGACATGGGGCAGGACCCTTACCCAGACCCAGACGTGCCAGACGACGCATTCTAAGGGCTGACTTGCCAAACGTCATGGTAGGCCCACGACGACGACAAGAGGCCAGGACCCAAGTCTGTATGGGGCAGCACCCTTACCCCAGACGACGCTTGTTACGAGCATCGTGACGGGGCTGCGGCTTGCCTTGCGAACCGCCATGATGTTTGATGTCTTTCAGCTCCTCCCAAAGGGGAGTGGCTTTGTGTGTAACATCTCGATAACAACAAGATAAGTGCAGGGGGCCGGTGCTCGCCCTGGGGTCACAGGCCAGCGAAGACACCCCCAATGAGGGGTGCCAACGTGCGTTGAAAGCTGAATGGCAAGGGGCTACACTGAGAACCCCACCGCGAACATGTAATAAATCGCCAGCTACTCCCCCTAAAGGCTGTGTCCATGTGTGTGTGTGTGTGTGGGTGTGTGGGTGTGTTTTTTTGTGTGGTCATCGTGAGCCGCCTCCGGGCGTTTGAGGTGGATATTCCCAGCTCTAACTTGGACGCGGCGGCAGCTGCCACGGATGCTGCCTTGCAGCGGCTGCCGAAAGAATCCCTTCCACGTCGACTGGCTGCGCTCATCCCAGTCCCTCAGCTTGGTTTATTGGGCATCGCCTCGCCCACCCTGGCCTCGCCTGCTCACAGGATGGTTTGGCGCTGCCTGAGTCCGTGTTTAACGGCACCACCAGCCCGCTTCCCAGATCCTGTTCGATAGCAGGACCAGTAATTCATTGGGACTCGGATCTCCCGAGGCTACTATCGCCCGACTGAGCGGGCCCTCCTTGCCGCCGCAGCTCTGTCCTCCCTGGAGGTGAACCTTGATGGCGGCGAGGCGGGGACTCCGGGAGACCTTCGAGGCTGCCAGTGGCGCGCGTTTTCATCAAGCGCCGGTTTGGAAGGCATGCGGCATAAGGTGTAAACAGACGGTGTGAGGGTTCTGCAGCTGTAAACGGCCAGGCCCCGAACAGAAGTCTGTCTTTGTCTCGGATGTTTTTCAGGGCTTTGGCGTTGGCCGCTTGGCGGGGGCGGAGCTGCCGGCGCCGGAGCGCCCCGCGAGCTCCTTGCCTGAAGACGTCGCTCTCTGATTTGTGGGGACTCGGTGCCTTCGGTGCCTCTGCCCTGAGGCTTGGATCCGCTCTTCGGTCCTTTGGGAAGATCTCCGGTGGCTCGCGAACGGGCTTTGGACGCCTCCCAGTACCTCCGCCCGGCTCCTACGGAGAGAGACGAGAGAGCACTGCAGCTGCTCCACGGGCCCGAGCAAGGCCTGGCCATCTCCGGAGCCGTCTGCAGCGCGGTGGTCCGTGCGGTGCTGCAGCCTCTGGAGGCCCAGCCCAGCTGCCCCAGCTCAGCCCGCTTCTTGAAGCGCCGTGTCCGTGCAGGTCGTCAAGACCACTCAGCAGCCCTTGTCCTCAGAGACGAGAGACGGGACGAGCGAAGAGAGGAAGCAAAGACGTGTTTCCCGCTTTCCAAGGCTCAGCCCTCCCAGTGAGAAGAATGCAGGTGCCATGAGTGCCATGCCATTGGTGCACGCTCATGACGGTAGTACGACTGCTTCCTTTGTTCAGGGGAGACGGGGGACTTCCAAAGCACGGCGAAGAGCCTTCTGGAAGCCGGAGGTGAGAACACCGGCAGCTCGCATACTTCAGCATACTTCCAAGACGGAGTCATTCCTTCACCCGAGGCTTTGGTGCTCTGTACAAAGGGACAGATGCCACAGTCCTGGCCACTGGTGTCATGGGCTTTGCCAGCTTCGGACTGAACGAGCTCTTCAGGCTCAATGTGCCACTGGAGTATAGTGGAGTCATGCATCATCATGCAGCCGCGGCTCATGCGGTCGAACTCCTGTCGGGTTCTTCTTTGCTCCGCATTGTTCAGGTTGCTGTTTCTCATGCAGACAGACAAAGACTACATAGGCATTTAGCACCCCAAGGAGCATACGTACATATGTACCATGGATTTTCACCTATTTCAACTTTGCAAATGCAGTGGTAGACAAACTGGCAGCAACTTAAAATTGTCAGCGCATTATTTGTGTGCGCATGCCGAATCTTCCCTGGCAGAGGATACTCTCAATACTCAATCATGCGGTCGGACTGCCTCGTGTTCTGGTTGTTTCCGGTCTGCTTTGTTTCACGCGCTCGGACTGTTGTGCCCCTCTTCTTTTGGAAGCGATTGCCTACCTATGTGTCGGACTCCTCTGTCTTGTGCTTTTGCTTGCTCGGATTGGCTTTGTATCATGTCGTTGCAGTCATGTGTCCCGTGTTCTTGATTGCTGCTGTTTGTCTAGACTCATGCCCTTGGACTTCTCTGTTGGTTTTGTCTCACGCTACTCGTAACTTGCCTTCCGCGAGGCGGAGCCTGGAATCAATGACTGGTGACACAACCGGTCAACCTAGCGCCTTGCTGGTGCTTGGCGCATCGATTGCGGCTGTGTTCGTTTCAGACTCTTGGCTGAACACATGTGGGCCTCCCCCCGAATCTCGTTTGAAAAAGGGTCAAGTCACACGCTGCGCAGGGCTTCATCGCTGCACCGTTTGAAACCTTGCGCGTGCGCGTGATGGCCCCCACAGAGAGCCGCTCCTGGGGTGACGTGGCGAGAACGGATTCAGTCTTGTCTCCAGCCGCAGTTGGGGAGGCTTGCAAGGCCACAAGGGGCATGACACGAGCGCAGCGCAACTCAGGAGAGTTGGCCACCGAAGCTGCCCTGCTGGCGGAATTTCGGAGAGACAAGAGAAACGGCTTGACTGCACTGCGCCTGTCGCCAGGTGAGCAAAGGATTCTCTGAGCTTTGGGCAGGCCTCGGACCCTTCTGGGCTAGGGAGATTCCCTTCTCTGCATGTGACTTGGCAAAGGGCGAAAGCGGGTGCGCAGTGGATGATCGGATTGTAGCTCGTGTTGTTAAGGCAAGTTCCTCGTGTTCGATCTGGCTTCACGCGACTCAGAGAACAAGGAGCCGCAAGGCGCCAGGCAGGGTCTCCGATTCTCGGCTCTTGGTGCCGAGGTGGCCTTTTCAGCTTGTTCCCGGCAGCCGCGGATGCCGCAAGCCTGCAGATCTCGGCTGTGGCCGGCTCCATCGCCGGCCTGGCCTCTGCCGTGGTCTCCAACCCCGCCGATGTGCCTCCGAGAAAGGGAAGAGGTGCTAGTGACTGATAGCGAGCTGTGGTCGTGCTAGTGTCGAGAGCGGCGTGCGCCGTGGCTCCATCTCAGGTCATCATAACACAGATCTCCTCAGGAGATGCTGCAGGCGAACTCGAAGCATGAGTTGCTGCTAGTAACCGAGGACAGGTCAGGCTCTGACGGCCATCTTCTAAAAGTCATGTGTGTTTAGGGGCATCTAATGGATGTGCAGAGATTTCGTCTGGTCTGATTTCGGCTGTCCAAAACGTTGCAGGTCGCAGGTCTCCCGGCAAGCTCGATCTGTGGAAGGGCCTGGGCGCTCGCAGTGTATACTTTGCTGCAGCTTCTTGGCTGAGCAGAAGTTGCATGTGTTCGAGGTAACGGCAGGCCTGCTTCTGCTGATGTCTAAAGCTTGATTCAAGGCCATTTGCGCCCAGTTCCTGCTGTACGACTCTGTGAAGGACAATCCTGTGCCTTTCACGTGCCGCACCATCACTTGAAAAAGTGCCAGGAGTTGCTGGGCGTGGGCTCCGGGGACCTCCAGCTGGTCCTCGATGTCTTCGGCATATCGCAAACTGCTGAGAGCCTTCTGGGCTGAGAAAAGTGCCACGTCTGCTACGTGCGTGAGCTTAGCTTAGTTGAAGGTTGAGCTTGTCCCTGCAATCACCGGGTGGTTTCTAGCCGCCACATCCTTGCGACGGTCTGAGCAGGCTCTTCGAATGGGAGACCGCGTGGGCGTGCTCTTCAGGTGCCGTCCTGCACTTCGCGGCAAAAGCAGTTTCGGTGCTGTTTGCGGAGCCTGACACTTCCTGGCCTGACATCGCAGCTGCGTTGGCTTGGATCCTGGGCGAGACATTTGCAGATTGATCATGGCCGAAAACCTCGGCAAAGCACGCTGTCACCATGCCAGAAGAGCTCCTCCGAAGTCGAACTGCCCTGCATATTTGCCGCTTCTCGCGATCACATCATGTCGCACCTGCCGCGGACATGGCTCTGCGACGCCTACCATGCACCCAGCGACCTGGCTCGGAACGCGCAACTGCTGCGAAGCTTACGGACGATGCGTGGCTCCTGAGGACTCTGTGGGCCCTTGCGGCCCTGTCGGCCGTGCCGTTCTGTCACGGTGACTGCTTGGTCGGGCCACAGAGCGGCGTTTCAGGACACGGGACGGACGAAGCTGAAAGCCGCAGGCCCCTGTAGTTGATGGACAGCATCCCGACGGCTCCTGTGCCAGGAGCCCAGCCTCGAGCCAAGCAGCCAAGCTTACACAGAAAGCAGTTAAGAGGTTTTCTTTCACCTCCAAGAGCTAAGAGTACACACACCAAGGCGGATCGATTACACAAGCAAGAAGCGAACATCACAACCAAGCTTCTCGCATCTGCTACCTTGGCTTCCTTTTCACGGTTAGGTCGGGTTTGCAGCAGTTGGACCAGTCAACTCAAGTCTGAGGCTGTACTTGTGATAGGATCCCACGTGGTGCTAAAACTTGAGTACGCCATGTCCGAGCTGGTAAGTCCGAACCATATGGCTGAACAGAGGCATGATCTCGAGAAGGATGCGTGCATGCACCGCGAATGAAAGACCGTGCAGCCTACCCCCTGATTTGACCTAACCTAAACACTCGAGAGATCTAACCCACCACGCCTGCCCAAACATCCCCACCATGCGAACCGTACTCCTCCGCAACCCCGACCCTCACCTGACATAGCCTTAACCCAACCAAGCGTTGACCTGAGCTAACCCAACCAGAAATCCGGACGACTTATCTGATCCACAAGGTCAAGCCGGGAACCCACAAACCAAACCTGTTCTTTAGGCATGAGGGAAAGCAATAACCAGAGCATGGCTTTCTGACTTGTTTGCGCCGTCCACGAGCACCGAACGCTCGGCACCCAGAGCTCCCGACCCACCCGTCCCCGTCCACTGCCGGGAAAAACTAAATAATCAAGAACCCAACCACCCCAGGGTTTTCGTGGGGATCCTGGGGAACGTTGGCTTGGGTGGCTTGGGTCATGCCGCAGTTTATGTCGGGATTTGGTTGGTGTGTGCTGGGAGGAGGTGGGATGGGTTCGGGGTGAGGTTGTGGCAGGTTCAGTCCCTTCCGTCCCGAGTTCGTTGGACGCAATTCGGAAACAATACCAAGCGTGCATCTCCAACTTGCTGCTTCTTTCCTCACTGCGCCGTCCAGCACTTCGAATAGCTGGAAAAGCTTAGAGAATGCTTCTCAAGGGTTTTTCCTTGTGTAGCAAAGTTATAGCGGGTTTCGGTTAGGTCAGGTCAGGGTCGGAGGGGTGGGGTACTCGTAGGAAATGCTTGGGTCAAGTTCGGTTGGTGTAGAGTTGGCTTGGCTTGAGGTCCGGGGTTTCGGCCAGGTCGGTTTAGGTTAGGTTGGTTTATGTTGGCTTGGGCCAGGTTAAGCAGGTTCCAGGTCGGGTGGGTTAGGTTGGAATACGAGCGGAATTTGGCGACCGGGTCAAGCCCTGGTCGGGTGTATCTGTGTTGTGCTTTGGCTGTTTTTGGGTTTAGGGTTTAGGGCTTAGGGTTTGGGGTTTAGGCTTTGGGCTTCAGCGGGGATTGGTCGGGTTAGGTTGGGTTTCGATGGGGATGAGGTCAGGTTGGGGTGCTTTGGGTTGGGTTGGTGTTTAGGTTGGATGGGGTTAGTTTAGGTTCGATGGTGTTAAGTTGGGGTTCGGTCGGTTTTAAGGTGTCTCTTGCAACTCCTTTCGTTGTGTTCGGCTTGGTTCGCCTAGCTTAGTTGGGGCTAGGGTTAGGTTGGGTTAGGTTCTCCGGGGTGGAGTTGTTTGATATTCCATTGTTTTGATTAAGTAGTTGGCAATTCTTGGTGAAACCTATTTGCCGTCTTGGTTGTTTAGTCAGTAGCTTTTGGTTGAGCAATCGGGCTTCTTGGTTTGGTAGTCGGTCCTTTTGGTTGGATAATCCGCGCCTCTGGTTGTGCAGCCTTATATTGTTACCAGACTGTGATCAGCTCCAGCGCCCCATCGTCTCAGGCCGAAGGCGTGGTGATTTCAGCTTTCGGCCGGCAGCCTACGGAGAGGAAACAGGGATCGAAAGGAGCAAGAGGCTCAGAGTCTCGACCCTCGAGGCACATGCGAACCACGATGTGCGGAGGGCTACATCCTCGAAGGCCCGGGGCAAGCTGCGAGGTTTGTTCTCGACAAAGATCAAGTTGCTTCTGGCAGTTGCGAGCAGCAATGGGCTGCTCCTGTGTCTGAGCGGCCAGCAAGGAAACCCAGCCGGCACGGCAACATGCAAACAGACACGAACTGGCAGGACTTGCAGTGGTGAAGAGTTTGCTGCTGTCTGCGACACTAAGGCTGGTTCCATCGACGTTTCAGTGTATCGGTCTGAACTGCTCTGCCCCAGTCGGCATTCCATTCGGAGGGCCAGAAACTTAGTGACAGCAACAGGGCCTAGCAGTTTCAACACCAGCACCTAGCAAGCGCGCGCAACTTGCAAGCTATGGCTCAGGGAGGAGGAAGAGAACCATACAAACTGCGAAGAGGGCGGTTCTGTGGTTGTGAGGTGCTGAGCTTCTCGTGGAGCAGCTGACCTTTTGCTGCCAGATTCCACGGGGTTGGATTATCGAACTGATGCAGGTTCACGGATCGTACTGCACACCCAGGCACTACTGTATGATTTCACACTACACCCCGCACTGTCGTCAGCTTCAGTCACAGGTGTAGAAATGGCTACACCCCAAATCTGGACGGCGTGCTGCGCTCAGCTGCAGTTCTGTGCTATGCCGCCTTGGATACCACGTGAAGGCATGGCGAAGCGTCGCCTGCACCACAGCACGTCTCGCATGCCGAGTTGCCTTGGGATCCAGTGCTGCGGAAGAGCATCCTTCCCTGTGTCGCGGGGGTCCTCGCACCGTCGCTGCTGCCTTAGAGACACTGCCGTAGTCACGACTCAGTGCTGTGCACCCTCGACGAGGACCTTCACTTGTCTGGGAATGCCCTGCCAGGCGCTGGAAACACGTCGCAGTGCATCGCAGTGCAAACGTCGAAGCATACTTTGCGCGTCGGCATTGCAGGTGCCACGCACAGGCTCGGGGGAGGGGCAGATCTTGAACGCCCACGCGCTGCGCCCGTGACGCGGGCACGTCTTGATTGTAGAAGCTTGTCGGATGTCGCCGCACCCGGCCTCTCGAGGTGCTCCATAGACTTGCCGGAGATTCCGCACCTGGGCTTCTGCGACCCCCTTTGCCGGTGGGCCGGTACAGCTGCACGTGTCCTCACGTGTCGGCATGTGATGAGTGATACATGTGAGTCTCGCGAGGGACGGATGGCATCCGAACGCCGTGGCCTTGGCAGCAGCAGAGCATAGCAGAGCAGAGTCTGTCCTCAACATGTCTCAAACACACACTGCTTCCGTGTACTGTGGATTGATACTTCGCAACACTTCGGGCCCCTTGCCAGGTCTCTCTGATACAGTGCGTGGCTTCAAACCTGGCTTCCCTCTTCGAGTGCCTGGGCAACTCCTGTGCGCAACTGAGAAGGGACAGAAGAGACGGAGCTCAAGCAAGAAGCCGAAGAGTTGCAAGAGGAAATGCGCCCCTCCGAAAAGCAATAGACAATAGACTGTCAATTTGCGAAATCCGTCAAAGCTCCAATTTCACAGGTTCTGAAGGAGTGCTTGAACCGTTCCGCCACTTGAGAAAAGAATGGCACTTGTCTTGGAGAGACTCCTCACCTTTCGTGCGGAGCATGGTCTGCCAAGGCAGGACGTGCCACATGAGATTGCCACGCATGTGCAGCAACCTAGCACATGAGTCGGTATTGAAGCGGCGATGTTGGAATCACGACAGCCGGCTCGGAAAGATCTCTTGAAACTATTTAATCAACAAATCTCATTGCGAAATGATTGAATGCTCGGAGGAGTCTCCTTTCCTTCACTACCCTTTGCAGCTGTGTTTTGGGCGGGGCAGACCACCGAAATGTTTTTTTTCAATTTTGGGGTGGCCTCCTGAAAAGCAGTCTCACGTTGTTTCTGTGACAGAAACAGCGCTATCTATGAGGTCCCGCACCCAAGCTGGCGTGGAGCCTGAGATCCTGATGTGGTGCTCTGTTGGCTGTTCGCTCGCTAGCCTCTGAGGTTCAGTTTGCCGAAGCGGTGACGTGCCAAGAGGGCCCGGAAGCGGAGCACGAAGGAGACGTGCGCAGATAAGAATCCATGTCACGAAAACCAGCTCTGTGCATCTTACGGGGGTTGTCGTTTACCATTCACTTTAGTAATTACAAGTAGTAGAGACTTGGGTTAAATTGCGTGCAGGACCTTATCTGGTCCGTTCAGAAGGGGGTGAGCGGGCCCCCGGACCACTACCGCCCTCCACCTTTGGTCCCTCTCCCACCCCACCTCAAGGTCCATCATGGTCCATCTGTTTAAGCAGCTTACGTGGCTGAGTGCGTCTACCTCAGTAAGTAGTTAAGCTGCCACCCGGACAGATCGAGGCTGCTCGTAGATGGCCGAGTTACTGCTTACGCAGGGACACTCCGACACGCAATGAGGTCGGTCAAGGTACTACGGTGCCACCGGGGTGTATCTTTATGTGGGCCAGTGTAAAACAGAACATAACAGAATGATGCTATCATCTTGCAGGTTTAAGCTTCATGGCACTATGCATCCGCACTGCCCGAGCTCTGTCGACTTTGGTTCCTTTTTTGCCCTAGCTTTCGTGGCCTCTTCTCAAGTCTTCTTGCTGGTCGGATATGGCATGGGTCAATGGGGGTGCAGTATGAAGTGGCAGGAATTTGCACGCCCAACTGCAAGCCAGGGTACCGCAGGAGGCTTAGTCGACCTTAGTCGCGTCGCTCCACCCGGAAAGCGGCAAAACTCAGGTCCAAGTGCGGAGGTACTGTCTGCGCCTTCGGAAGTGTTCCGTTTATGCTGGCGGGGAGGGGAAACCACACTTTGCCCTGCTGAGGACTTGTCGAAACGGTGTCTTAACGCCCTTCAGATACGAGTGCCGCCACCCCGCAAGCAGCATCGAGCGCGCAGTTCCTATGTCTTGGATTATCATCCTTCAAGGCTTCCCGGAAAACTGCACCGCCCACTTCGAACTGCCATGGCAGCCCTAGCAGATTCTGGACGATTTCTCAAACAAGAAGCCCAAGTCACAGCTCTGTGCCGTGTCAGGGCCTTGCCGCCTTCGCCCGGCTACAACCGGTCTCTAGGCCGTGTGGCTTGTGTTCGGTTTCCCTTTCCAGAAGAGAAGCTCAGACAGGCATCAACAGCCCACTCGTCGAATGGGTTCCGCCAGAAGCGAGGAGATGCATGCGTTGAGTTGTAGGAGAATCAGACAGTGGATCCCTCGTGCTTGACCATCGTTGGCTTTCTTGGAGCTCTGCAAACTGCAGGACAAGAATACCATGTGTACTCGTACGACACAGCAAACACCGCATGCTTCGACACGGCAACAGAAGTAGCCTGCGCGATCACCGAGTCGTGTTTTTTTTTTTTTTGCAGGGCTTCGTGATGTTGTGCTTGTCGCCAATTTCTTGTTTGATGGCCCTGTTGTCGGCCTTTGTGAGCATGGAGTTTCAAGACATGCGAGACAGGCTGGGGTGCCGCGTCAGCATGGGGTAGCACTTGCCTCGCCAACTGTGTTTACCTCGCAACGCTCACCACGGCCCACGTGGGGAGGGTGGGGGCTTGGCATTCCACAGCACATGGGCATCATGGCTGAGTCGAACATATCAATTTCTTGACGATGCCAGGACCTGTGCGGAAGGGCCCAGCATGTTCCACCGCGGACGCCGGCATGCCCGGAAAGAGGCTTTTTGAACCCGGTCTATGCCCTCTGTCTCTCCTCGAGGTTGTACCGCTCAATGCTTGCCTGGATATGCGGGGCCCTCGGCAGGTGCACTTCACCTATCTGCTGCGTATTTGCAACTTTCCAAGGAGCCGGACATACCGTTCCTTTCCTGCAACCTGGGCAACTTCAGTCGCGCTCCCAGGATCGTTCGTTAAGAGTCGTTGCAATCGGCACGAATGGATGGATGGAGATGAAGTTATGAGCCTGGCTGTCGCGAGGTCCACCAGTGTACCAGTGTGTGGGCCAGCCCTGTCAGGTGTTGGACTCAAGGATTTACGCAGATGACTCTGCAGTGCCGCATAGAGCATCATGGCATCGCTTCCTTGCAGGCATTGCAGGGCATTCCGGATGCTCCTGCCTTGACGTGCGAGGAAGGTGGCGGTCTAGCTCACAGCTGTCGCAGCTACTCGGCATTTCTGCATACAGAGATGGCAGGCACCGTCCTGGAGCACGGCGGGTCCTGCACCACGAAGTGCGACTATGGCCTGGGCTCCAAAAAAACTGCAGTTCCCTTCAATCTCTGAGGGATTTCAGCCAGCGGACTGAGAGGCTTCGTCCCCTCCGATGCAGTGCTGAGCAGCAGCCTCAGCTTGTGTAGCCTACAAGGGCACGGTGCTGGCCAGAATCGGCTTCTTTCGACAGGTTGCAATGCGACGGTGCTGGATCCCGCGAACTATACTTGCATGGGCACTGCTTGCAACGTCTGGCAGCTCGGAGTTGCGCTTAGTTTCCATGGGAGAAGTGATTTTGCTGAGGCTCCGGCCGGTGTCGCAAACGCCCCGGCCATGCCGTGCAGCCCTCGGATCCGCTTTTCTCCTAGCCGGTCTCCATCTCCGTTTCGAGCTCTACCGTCTCCTTTGCCGCATGATCCAGCCGTCGTCGTCGTTGTCCATCTTCCCCATGGGCAGCGCTGTCCGCATCACTGACGTCCCTGTCGGGCTTTGGTACTTGTGAATCGCCTTATAAATGTCACCCAAGCTTCTGTGAGGTGCGTGGAGCCGCCCGAGAACCTGACTCACGGAAGCATTTGCACGACACAGTGCTTGTCGGGGTTCGTGCGCAGTGAGGATTCAGCGCTGAAAGCAGGGTCGGTTCAATGCGCCTGTCAACAGAAAGGTACCCAGCACACCGGTGCTGCACTGCTACGGAGGACAGCTGAGGCCAGCTGTGAAATGGCGCCTTGTTGCAAATTGACAGCCGAGATCAGCCGTCTCTTTCCGCAGCGCTTGACATCGAGTGCAGCCTGCATACATGGCCGCGGTGGGGCACTGCCCTTTAAACCCTGGAAGCAGTGCTCATCCAGAATGCCACCCTTGCAGGCGCAAGGAGTGAAGCAAAGCAGTGATATGCGCAAAGTCTTTGCAGCTACCGTGCAGCTCTCTTGTGGTGGGTCTAGTGATGTCTAGTGACTCCAGCGACCGACTTTTCAAGCGGAAAGTTGTGGCCAGGCAGTTTAACCCAAAGCGAGGGACCAGCTCGTGCCGCTTTGGTTCCACGTGCAATTTCTGTCATCATCCTGATCACAAGCGCTCCAAACATCGGGGGCAGCGAGGACCGGACAGTGCCATGAGCCACGAGCGGTCGAGTTGTCTTGTTCGGAATCGTCTGTGCTGTGCAGGACGCCACGCCGTGCAGCGCCGAGAATTCCAGGAAGAGCGTGCAGCGGCGGCAGTGGTGAATCCACGTCTCGCTGCCCTGGACCGCATCTACTCAGAACCGAACCAACTCGTCGAGGCCGCGCGGGCGGCGATGCAGCGGACATGTGCCAAGTTGCGCGAGGCAGTGGAGCAGGAGCTGGACAAGCGGATGTGGCAAAGCGGGATGGATGCCCAGTGTTTGAGGCCCGACAGTGTGCGGATCAAGTGCTCCAATGCGAACCCAGAGTCGGATGTTTCGATTCTCCCCGACTTGAATAAAAGGAGCAAGTGGTTGACAGGAACCTTGCATCTGCTGATAAAGAAGTATCAGGACAGCACGGACAACAGCCAGTCTTCCAAGTTCGAGCTCATCGCAGAATCTGTGAGGCAGAACCTCTCAGCATTGCAGAGAGACTTCGAGCAAGTCTTGCAAGCAATCGAGGGGCTCAGTGACCACTTGAAGAACCACAGCTGGCTGGAAGACACCGTGGCAGATCTGTTGCAGAAGGACTGGGTTTGGTGAAATGCATCCGGTGGAGCCCGCTGCTGGCACTGTCCGATGGACTACATGGGAGACCAACAGCAGCTTAAAGAAAATAAAGATCTTTTGGGAGCCTTTGAGACGATGCGCCAAGCAATTCTGCGAGCATTTCATCTGCAGAACAGCACGCAAACCAGACATGCAAGTGCTAGGGTAAGCCATGCAACTGACGTCGATTCCCCCCGTTGAGGGAGCTGTTGCAAACTTGCAGAAGGACTTCGACCTGGATGCGATCAAGGATCTATGCGAGCTGCTCCACTTTCTTCTCCTACCCGGAGACGGAGAACACCTGAGCAAGCTTGATGCGAGGACGATGAAAGGTCTCGTGCAAGAGGTGCAGCGAATCTTGGACATGCAGAGAACCAACCTCCTCGAAGGGAGCGAGCCTGTGAGTGAAGCAGACTGATATGGAGCAGCACAGCGGTTGGGGGACCTCACTTTGGACCTGTCTGCAACATGCGCTACTGGTAGTACTTGTAGCGCATTGACCGCATTCTCGGACTGCTTCGTGACTGTCGAGAAAAAGTGAACGCTGTCCCATGCTTCATATCTCCTGCGTCCTAGGACACCCCGTCCTCACTTCGAAGACAACGTAGCACCCATCGCCGCCCGCCGCTGCAGGCCCGCGAGCTTCGAGTGCATCGAGGCGAGCCGCGGCGAGCCTCGAGCCGGCCGCGCCGCGCGGCGCTTTCCTTGCGGCCGTCCCAGGAGTCGGTGTGGCTCGGCTACGAGCCCTCGGACGACACCATTGCCCAGGCGTGGGCCGAAAACGTAGCCGCCGACCCAGCGCAGATCGCAGCGCTGCCCTGCTCCATGCCTCTGTGATCCTTGATGCAGTCTCTGAATGTCTATGAACTCTGGTACCGCCATGTGGAGACGTGAGCCATCATGAGGCCGCCGCTGGGCTGCGTGACGGCACAGCCCTGGCCTGCTTCAAGGATTAACCTTCCCACCTCGAATCCGCGTCCTGCACTGTTTTTTGAAGTCTGCGCAGGATGAGCTCAGCCTGGCCATACACTGCGTGGTTTTGCTGGCCTCCGTGACGCCAAGCCCCCACCACGGCCCACGACCTTTGTGTGTGTCTTGCAGCCGAGCGGCCAGGACGACGCGGCAGGGCCAGTGGAGCGCAGTGACCGGGCCGCAGGCCCTCCACGCGTGCAGTGCCTCCATCAGGGCCTATCACAGCTTCTGTGATGTCATCTTGAGGTGGAGGAGTTTGTCCTGGAACCCCTTACCTTGGACAAGGCGATCTCGAGCTTCCACGTCCCTCTTGGCTTAGACTTGGACGTGCCTTGGTGAGGCAGTCGCATGCTACCGAATCACAGGTGCCTTGTGCAAGCCGGGAAGAAGCTGTCTCTGGATTCTAAAGCTCCGGGAGTCCTTTCCTGGAGGTGGGAGCACGATGTGCCGTGCTCTGGAGCTCGTCTCCGAGTCGGTGGTGCAGGCCGGGACCGGGTTGACGTGGACTTCATGCCAAAGCGCATCGTGCTCATCAGGGTGCGGAGGTGCTGCTGAGTCCAGACCTTGGGTCCCAGCACAGCTCGTTCGCCTTGAGAGCCAGTGGTAACTCAGGCGCAGCTGAGACCTACCACATCTCGCTGGCAAGCCTGGCGGACGGGGCAGCGGTCTGCTTCCAACAAGGTGCAACGTGCTTGAGTTGCCCAAGAAGCGGTCTCAGCGGCAACGCTGAGGTTTGGACACCTGGCGATGCCGGCTCCTGGACGTGGGAAGCTCGAGCCTCTCAATGCCTGAGCCTCGACCTGCAGAACCCTTTGGCGGCTCCCGGCCGAGACTTGTCACAGGGGGCCCGAGCTGGTCCTGCCTGGAACTCTCTCGGGGCTCGCCGGGGCCCTCAGAGAGAGGGAGAGAGAGAGAGCCCCTATATGCCCCGGAGAGAGAGAGAGAGAGAGAGAGAGAGCGTCAGCCCTGCGCCTCCCTCAGTTTTTCGACGGGGGCCCCGCCCCGCCCAGCCCCGCCCCGGCCCCGTCGACTCCACGGAGCGGGTCCGCAGGCCTTGGCCAGCCTCGGCTCTTCGCGGCTCGTGGCTTGCGGTGCAGGCTCCGTCGAGGCACAAGAAGAAAGCGTGCGTTCTGAGAGAGAGCTCGGGAGTGGCGTTCGAGGGAGTGTCTTTGAAGTGTTTCCTGGCGCAGGGCCGTTCCTACTGCCACCTCCTCGAGGTGTCAGGCCTTTTCAGAGTCCGAGAAGCCGCGAACACGGACTTCCTGCAGCCCCGGCTTGAGGCTCCATGCTGAGCAACATCAGCTCCGTGCAGGTAAGCACCGAGGCGCCCAGCGAAATTCCTGGGGATGAGGGCTTTCAGGGGCCAGGATCATGCGGGAGATGTGGCAGGCTGCGTTTCTCGTCGCGACCCACCTCACCTCGCCGAGCGACGCCGCGGGGGGCCCACATCGGTCCACCGGGCATCAACCGGGGCGCTGCGCTGAAGCCCAGGTCCTCCTCTGCTTCTCGGACTGGAGCTCCGTGAGCGCGGTCGGCAGCTCTGACCGATCTCCGCCGCGCCTCTCCTCGCCTCCGTCGTCACTCCAAGGCTTCTCAAGCCGGTTTCGGTGTAGCCTTCCGACTGGCACTGAGGTGTGCAAGGTGCTTGAAGCGAGCGGTGATGCACTTGTCTGCAGCCGAGCTTGTTCTACAGTACCATCCCCTGCTGTCACAGACCTGCGATGGCACAACAGGGGTGAGTCGAGATGAGGTGGAGGCGGGGAACGTGACAGTGGACCACGGTGCCTTGTTCTTAGCATTCCGGTCCGACCATTTCGAAGCCACGTACGACTTCCCACTTGCGAAAGGTCACTCGCTACCTGAGCGTTGGTGCCGTGTCTGCCAGCCGTGCTCCACCCAGCATTCCCAAGACAAATGTGTTGAACTTCGAAGATCCGATTGTGGCGGGGGATAGGGCAGATACTGTAAAGGCCCCCAGTGCCCTTCAGGATCCTTCAGGGGTGTGCAGGTTGTAGGGTTGAAAAATGGTACTGGTGCACCACACATGATCGAAATGTAGGGGAGAGTTTCAAGACTTTTCAAGACCTAGGTGCTCTGCTCTGCATGGAGCGCCAGGCACATCTGCGCTGCCGGCATAGAGGAACAATCCCCAGATGAGATCTTGGGCAGGGCCCTTTGCTGGAACACTGTGTGGATCGACGTCTTCAGTGCGAAGACTGGGCTGCAGCCGGAGAGTGTGGCCCCGAGGGGTGGCTTTGCTGAGACTGTAGCTTAGCTTTTGCTGCGAGCCGAGGTGCGGCTTCAACCCGAAGTTCATGTTCGACCTGTGCCCTTCCGCCCCCAAATCCCTCTCTCCCTCTGCTCACCGCTTCGCTGCTTCAGGAAGCTTCGCAGTAAGCTTCGCGCTGCTTCGCAGGTGTCCTCACACCTGCGGGGTCTGCACGCAGGCCGCAACCGGCCTCGAACTTCGAAGTTTGGGGCGATGGCATGGGGGCGAGCCCAAGGTTGGACCGAGCCAGGGCAGGTGCCACGTCGTGGGCATGTCGGGGCCCCGCAACGCTGCGCGTCGGAAGATGCTCCCCGCCCCTAGGCCCTCATGGTACGGGCAGCCTCTCTCAGAAATACGCCCAGACTCAACAGAATTGAAGCCCAAACCTCTCTAGATCCTTCCGGACGAATGCCAATTCTCGCTGAGATTAGGATGTGCCCGAGAGGCCAACTGAGACCAAGAATGACAGCCGGAGTGAGAGTGAGGGCCTGCTCAGGTCTGACGGTATCTTGCAAGCAGGACCCGAGGCCAGCAGCGTGCGGATGCGCACGGGGGGGTACACCTGGCAGATCCTGGCAGCCTGGCTTGGCCCAGAGGCTGTCGTGAACGATGGCATCTCGTGGAACTTCGCTGCGGCTGTGGTGCGGAGCGACACCGTGCGCTGCCCAAAACCAGAGCCGATGACACGCGCTTCCGCTCTCTCGCATCTCGAGGCGTTGGTGTGCTTCTCCGACTCCACGCGCCGAGATGCTGCAAGGCGAGCCTTGCGACTTCGAAGCCTCGAAGCCATGTTCCGAGAACTTCAGACTTTACGTCAGGTGCCGGACTGTTTGGGGCCCGAAGCCTGGTTTCGAAGCTGGGGCCTGGGGCTGTCGCAGTTCCAGTGCCTAGCGAGGCCCTCGCAACTGGGATCCGCTGGAGGTGAGGGCCTGCTCGGAGAACGTGTCGGCCAGCTGTGTGCCGTGAAGCGATTTGTGCAGTGCTCGGTGGTCAAAGATGCCACCAGGCTTGTGTAGGCTAGGCCGCTAGGCCGCTAGGCCGGCACGGTGCTGCCAAAGGCAGGGTCTGCCGTGCACCCGCTTCAGCTCGAGATTGACAAAGACTCAGGAGTCTGCCCGCGAACTTGGTTCCGATCTTGCAGAGGTCTGCACACGTTGTTTGCTCGATGCTCGAGGGCCGAGGGCCGAAGATTTGGGGCCTGGGGGCCTTTGTAGGTCCTGGGTCGACCAGATGTTGCCCAACACACCCGGCTCGCCGCAGATGCGGCTGAGGCGTTGGAACTTTGCCGGAAATGCTCCTGAGCTGCCACAGCTTTCAAGGCGCATGAAGCGGGGCGCGAAGGCTATGCGCGACCTCCGGCCACTAGCAGAAAACACACCGAACCAGCGGCCTCTAACCGAGCGGACCTTGGATGCGGCACAGGATTGGAGCGTGAACAGCACACCTTTGGGGGGTGCCGCCGGTGCAGCCGCCACTTGTGGTCTTGAGCTTTCTGAGGAATCCAGGAGCCATTTCTTCGGGCACCGCACAGGTCTGGATGTCGAGGCGGAGCTTCAACGTCAGGCCGTTCTCCTGAAGGGCCTCCTCAGGGATGTCGCCGTCATGCGAGACACAGTCTGGCACCTCTCGGACGAGCTAGCCTGCATCTCGTTCGCACAAGGCACAGACGGCATGCAACAAACACCAGTATGTGTCTGTCAGCTTCACGAGCTTCCGTGTCTAGCCGAGGTGTCTCAGCACCTCAGAACGATCTCGAGCAGCTTTCAGCAGATGTAAGGGAACTGCAGCAGGCCTTTGGCTGTTTCAGCCGCCAGGATTTGGAGGAAGTGGAACGCGCAAAGCTCGCGTCCTACCAAGAGAGCCGCAGCCTTGAGGAGACGCGTTTGGAAGAGGATGCTTCCGCGAGCTTCCGTGAGCTCGAGACCCGCTTCGAAGAGCATAGCCGGATGCTGGAGAGCAGGTTTGAGGATCTGAATCCTAGCATCAAGCATCTTGAGACACGCCTGGAAGAGCACAAGAACACGCTAGATGCCCGTTTCGGCGATCTGCACCTGAGCTGGCTTGAGGCCAGGTTCGAGGAGCAACGGCAGCTGCTGGAGATGCGGTTCGCTGAGCACAAGCACTTGGAGACGCGCTTCGAGGAGCACCGGAGCAGCCTCAGCAGCACTCTGGAGGCTCGCTTGGAGGAGAGCCGGAAGATTGAGTCTTGGAGTAGCTTTCGAGTTACGCGTCGCGAGCCTGCGACCCTCCCGCTGACTCTGTGTGAGTGTTCGCGTACAGTGCATTTGCTGGATAAGATGCCAGCTCCGAGCGTTGGGCACACTTCTTGCTCATTTCTTAGCCCTTGGAAGTCCAAGTGCTACTCCACAGGCGTTTTGCCATTAGGCTAGACAGATCCGCCAAGACAGTGTTCTATTGAAGGCTTCCGTTTAGATGCCAATAGCTTCAATTTGGCCTTTGCCCTGTGCCCTAGGCTGAGGGCCAGGAAACCACCAAAACTAAGAAACGTAGCCCACTACATTTCTTCCTTTCCCTGGTCTCGGAGGCTTGAGAACACCATAAGAACACGTGAAATAAGAAACGCAGCCCGCTACTGTACATTTCTTATTCTAGCTTTTTTCGAGGCTTAAGATCACGCGAATAACGAAACGAAGCCCTCTTGGATTTCTTAATTTAAGGTTTTCGTTGGCTTGGAGCCACCCATCCAAATGAGAATCGACACCAACACGTTGACTACCCTTGATTTTTAAGTTAGAAGGAATGTTGAATTTATTTTTTTTGGTGCTATCCGGCGGATTTCTTAACCAACCGTCTTGTACGGTGATTGCACTGTACCTGAAAGGACGTGCAAGGACTGCACCACAGAATGGCGGATCTCGAGCTCTGGCTGCGCAACGAGGTGCTACTCCAGCTCTCTGCCAACACCGCCGAGGAGGCCTGGAGCTGACAGAAAACGCCCAAGTGCAGCCGTTTTCGCGTCAAGGCATGCCAATGTCGTTCGCTTCCTTCTCCTTAGACCTTCCATCGATGTCAGAGTTGAGGGGAAAGAATGCAAAACCTGAGCTTGCCGACTCCCTGGTGCATGGTTGTGGGATGCCAAGCACAGGGGAGCCAGCAGAAGTTCCGGCAGGTGATAGTCAATTCAGCTTGTTTCAGCAGGAGGTGACGACAAATGCCTTGAAAGGCATCCGCGAGAATGGACTTGACAACTTCCAGGTTGAGGCGCTGAAGCAGCTACGTGCTCTGCGGCAATAAAAGAACATGTCAGATCAAATCCAGATCCTGGCAGCTCAAGCACAACAAATCCGGGAGAATGACAAGATCTTGATGAGCCAGAAAATTCATGCTCCTTTCTTGCCGCAAAGCACGTAGCTGCTTCAGCGCCTGAACCTGGAAGTTGTCAAGTCCATTCTCGCGGATGCCTTAGCTTCTACAAGGTGGTCCTCCACAATAACCGGGGCGCCGTGTACTACAAGAGAGGGGCGGCCTCGGGTTCCCGCATCAACCCAAGGGTTGATGAGTACCAGGCCGAGTGGTCAAAACCCAGCCTTTGATTTGCCACTTGCAGTGGTTGGAGTGCAGGGCTGAGCTGCACATACACGCGGCCGGACCTGATCGTGGGCGGTCAGTCGGAGGTATACACAGCTGAGGCACAGCACTCCCTAGAGGCCTTGATCGATGAAGCTTCTGCCATGTCGCAGGAGCAGTTCCAGGCTGAGGAGAGCAATGTAACATCGTTGTCTCATCGAGGTTCACTACCAGGGTGTTTGATTGAACATGTACAGCCTGTATAGCCGTTCTGTCATCAACATGACATCTGACACCAATGGTACTGTCACCGAAACCTTAGCCGGCGAAAAAAATGCAGGTTTCATGTGTTGTGCAAATCTGAAAGACTTGCAGGTGATTGAGCAAGCCTCGGTTTCAGTGACGCCACTGCTCCGTCAGCGGGCCGAAGAGATCGCCGAGCGGGCACGGCCAGCGACGTCACCTGCAGTGAGCGGTGCTGGTGGCCAGCAACGTCCCGGTTCGCCTGTGTTCTTGTCTCTGGCCCTCCACGCAGAGCGGGTGGCAGAAGTCGCTGCCGACATAGCACGAGAGGCGATGTTCGGGATTAGGCTAACGTCTTCTCAAGTCACCCTTCCTGAACTTGTTCGATCTTCATAGTGCAGGTGGTCCACTCCGTGCTGACGAACGCGGAGCTCCAGGTTGGAGAGACGCCCCCGCCACAGACGCCCCCGCTGCTTTGATAGACTTCCTGGTCTCACCCTGCCGCTGGGCCGAAGCTCGGCCTCTGCGCGAGCCAAAAGGGTTTTGGAAGGACGGAAGGCGGTTTGCTGACCATCTCTTGCGGTCTCTCCGGACTGCCGAAACCTCACATCCTCTGTCCTTCTGATGCGAGCCAGGTGCAACCGTGAGGGCGGCGCGCTGATCAGAGTGGCCGTACCGCTGACTCTTCTGAGTATTGAGCCCTTGTGGAAAGCTTGCTTAAAAGGGCCTCCGAAGCTCTGGACTCTGCCGGTGCCAGGTGAATGGCGACATTGCGGCCACGCATCACTTCGCTCAGGCGCCTCCATCGGAGGCCTAACAAACCCCCAAGAGCGCCCATCCTCCCCTCGTGATTCTTTCGGGCCTCCCAGAAATTTCTTTTCCTTTCGGGCCCCTTTTGGTGCAGGCCGTCGGCTTCCTGACTCCTGTACTGCGATTGGCCGGCACTGGGACCGCCTGCAGTCACTGTAAGGCTGTAAGGGTTAGCTCCTGTAGTGACCTGATTCAAAACACTGCAGGAAAGCGGCGAAGCTCATGCCGGGACTTGCGCCTCCGTCCAAAATGTTGGCGGATAGCCGCTGAGGCTTGGGAATTCGCATGCGTGTGGTCAGAAGGGAGGGTGGCCTGCAGCATGATCAAAGCTGTGCATGCTGTGCCAGCGGCTTGCGAGGCGGTTCAAAGTGAATGGCGCAGCGAGAATTCCTGTTTCACATTTTGTTTCACTCGCAAGATGTGGCGATGAAGTTGCCGCAGTACACCAAGCCCGTTGTTGCTTGGCACAAGTGCGCCAGTGCAGGATGCCCGCACCTCGATCAAACCTGGTTCCTGCCCAGCTGGCCATTGAACCTAGCTTCCCGCCGACAGTCGACTTGGCTACAATGCCAGCTGATCTTGGGTCTGGCCGGTCGTGCACGAAGATTTGGTAGTTGCTCAAGCTGCAGCCAAGAACTGGCCGGGTCTCCGGAGACCGCACTCAATCCCGAATCTCTTCTGCTTCAATCGTTCTACACCATACTTGTAGCGTCATTAGCATCCTGCACCCAAAAACCATATCCACTTCTGGACCTGCTTTGCTTAAGGATTTAGACTTCGCGCAGAGCCATGCCTGTGCACGAGTCGCGATCTCTCTCGCGAGAGCTCCACGTCGCCCCCCGGTTGCAGCTGCCGTCGAAGAGGCGCCGGAACCGAAC